ATCTCAGGAACTGCCCGTCGTCCTCGCTATCGGTTCTCCTAGGTGGAAGATAGCAACTATACACACGCATACCCGCTACCTCCACCCAGGTGAACGTTGGTACGGCGTCTACCATTTTTTTAGATATGTGGAGGTTTCCACATATCCAAATGGCCGCTTTCCCCGTCGCGTCCTTTACCCAGTTTGATTCACTGAGATCCCTGTACTCCTCGCTGACGATGACTATGTCGGCCTTCTCCTCCATGACCAGCTGCGACAGCAGGTTTTGGGCTACTTCGCAGTGGTTGAGGTTTATTTGGAGCACCTTAGCCATTGCTGGTTGGTGCTGCTACCTCCATGGCTACGCCTTTTATAGTGGCAGTGCAGTCCACTGCCTTATGTCCGTCCCGGCCACACCGAAAGCACTGCTTTGAGCGGTCAATCTCGCTCTCACAATGCCTTGCGATGTGTCCGGTTTCTTGGCACCTATAACACTTTGGTAGCCTTTCGCGTAATCGAACTCTGCAGTTGACCCAGCCGATTCTTAACTTCCCATTTCTTAGGAGCTTTTTTGCAGCTTCCGAAGGGAGCAAGATATTGGCCACCTGTGTCTCCCCGTATGCCTTCCTGAGTTTGATGCTACTAGTTGGCAGGCCAGAAAGACCGGTGACAGTGACGATGGTCTCCAGTACCTCATCTTCTGTAGTAGCCTCATCTACGTCCTTGATGATAAGGGTCTCCTTGTGAGTCAGCATCTGTACATCAGCTGAATCTTTCAGCATAGATGAGACTACCTTTTGCAGTGCAGGTGTCTCTTCCCCCTTCTGACCTAGCTCGAGGAGTAACTCGCCCACTCTAGTCTGCCTGATTTTCGTCACCCTTTCCCCGAGTGCTTTTAGTTCAGGCGCCGCTTTGACCTTTCGTAGGAGGTCAGCATACGACACGTCGCACAATGCCTTTATCTTAATGGCATCCGGCCGAGGTGCTTTAAGCCCAGCGCTAGCCTTAAGCTCATCTTCTCTGCACCTGCCTGCACGTTTCACTCCTACTGCTCGTTGCCCATCCTGTGGCTGGTTCTTCTTCTTCTGCTTCTTTCCGCTCTTTCTAACCACTGTAGTCCAGTCAGTGGTAAGAGCGTGAGTCGCTTGCTCCGAGGATGGAAGCGCGGCGCCAGGTGCCGTAGTTCGTACCTCCTTGCGCGCTTTTTTTGTCGAAACCTGCGCCAGTGTAGGCGGGGGTGTTCGCTCGCGCAACCTCTGGTTTCCAGGTCCAGGACGAAAGATTGGCGATGTCTGGCAAGCTTGGCATACGCTTGATACCAAGCTTTTTGTTCTGTCTCCCGCTGACTTCACCTTCAGATATTGGGCAAGGGCTCTATCGGAAGCCCTTGCCATCTCCTTCAGTTCCTTGTGAATATTGTTCTTGCCTAGAACAAATTTCACAAGATCACTGAGCTTTACCTTTAGCAGATTGAGAGCGTTCTCCTCCTCATCTGCTCCAAGGCCTTTTTGTCTTGACTGCTCTCTTGGTTCGTACATTTTGGCGTCCCCAGAATCCGCGCCAGCACCGGCCACCGAGGCTTTCACTCGATTGGAACCGATGGTAGGATTGGCCTCTTTCGAGGGATTACCTACCTGGGGTATATTGTTGGTAAATGTACTATCCATCGTTGGTTTATCTTCGGAGCTCCTACTCCTAGTCCGTAACCCTGGACAGGGTTTGTGTTTGGTCCGCGAGGGGTATTTTATTTCCCTCAAACCTTCCTACCATTGGCAAGCCAATAGTAAGCGAGCCTCCCTATCCGCCACCTGGGACGCGCCACGTCGGGGTTCACCTCCCCGTCCACTTAGACTACTAAGTAGGTCCATGGGTGTGTGTGTGTGTGTGTGTGTGTGTGTGTGTGTGTGTGTTTGTATCTGTAATATTATAAGTTACAGTTAATCTGTGATGAACTGTGAATCGTCACATACATCGCAAATTGAATTGCGAAATTTGTTTGTTCACTGTTGTCATAACAACAGGAGCTCTAATGCTGTCATTTGCAGTTTTGTTGCAAAAATGCTGTTGTAACAACATCAAGCCTTAAGACCAATTTTGTTTGCTTATTTTCTGTACTCTTGTTTTTACTTTTGCTTTTATTCTTGTTTCTGCAAACCAATCGTTCCAGATATGAATTAATATTTTACTTTTTAGGCAAAATACTATAAAATTTTGTCGCTCTTTAGCAATAATAGCAACAAATCATCTAACGTCAGACAACAAATTTAACTTCTGTATGCCAGTTCTAGACGAAGCAATAGAATGGGTAGCCGTCACCATTAATAAAAGAGAGGATCGCGAAGAATAGTATCGGGAAAGCGAATAAAGGAATATTCCTGACCTCTACCTGCCTAATAGACCAGTAACCGCCGATCAGGCCATTTCATTTGGAGTTTCTGCGGAATAAGGGATTATCGTGAGACGTTGATCCTTTATTAACCTTCTACAGAGAGGAACGTAACTAGGACTCTTTGAAGGAACTGTTCTATTACATGGTGAAGCACGTCTCTCACATCGCCAACCAATGGGATGACTGGTTGGTTTAACTGGTCGAGATGAGGATGGACGTCCAGACATGAGAAGACTGGAAAAAGTCCATCAAAACCTTGGATGCCTTTCCACACTACGAGGATCTGAAGAACTTTTTGAAGCATCGTTCGTGAGCTTTTCTAACCTCCAGTACGGTGGAAAACGGATTCAGTTGTACAAAATGTAACCGTAAAATCTCTGCCAAAATGAACCGGGTGTGCTTGGCGCAGTTCTCTAAAGGCGCCAGTCCGAGAGAATCCAAGAATAAACTCACTTGTTCACTATGTTCACGTTAGAATAAACACCCAATCTCATGATGTTCAAAATTTAACCTTCTTGATTCCGGCATGAATTCGTAGATTAATTGGAAAGAGCCTACGTATAGCGATCTTCTGAGACGAAGATTTGGACCTATTAAGATTCTCGTCACTGACTCGACTTATCCGTACTGTCGAGTATGTGTTATAATAGCCTGCTGGTTGCAAAATAGGAAACATTCGTCCAGATGCCAAGTTCCTGTTTGCTTCGAGCGCTTCAGAGGAGCTCCTTCCACATAGAAGTCCATTGCCTGTAACGTCAGCAACCATTGCCTGCCACGTCAAATATACGACGATGCCTAAATGCCATTAAATTAATACATTATTTAGAAAGATTAATAATGTAAAATTAATACATTACTTACAAAGTTGCTAATTGTAGGTTTTTCAGTTTTATTTATACGCAAATTTTTTGTTATGCTTGTGTTATATATTTGGTATTACGCTTTTATTCAAAATGTAATGTGGTTGTCTGTATCTTCAATAACACAGTATTTATTATCGGTGTGTAACCTATAAATACGAACTTAGTACTTACGAAAGATTAGTTATTTATTTTTTATTGTTCGAGATATGTACAATAGATTTTAAGGGTGACGATTTATACACATGAGGTCTGTCTCAAAATTATCTGACCAACCTCGATTTTTCGGCGCTTGATTTAATCTTCGTCATCCGGGAGTTGGCATCCTTCAAAGTAGTCTCCATTTGATTGAATAAAATGCTCATATCGATGTTTCTACTTATTGAAACACTCTTGAAAGTCAGACTTCGAAATACCTTCAGTGTATTCGTCGCATTAGTTTTAATAGTCTCTTTATCGTCGAATCGATGTCCTTTAAGCGGCATTTTCAAATGAGAAAATAGCCAAAAGTCGCAAGGAGCTATATTGGGACTGTATGAAAGCTGGCGAAACATGCGCATCACTGTGTTTCAATAAATACTGCTGCACAAGGTTTGATGAGTGCGCTTGAGCATTGTCGTAATGAACAAGCCAGTCACTGGTTTTCCAAAGTTGCAGTCGTTTTCTCTTGATTGCATCACACAATCTGTTCAAAACTCTTTATTCATTGTGTGGCCTGTAGGAGCATATTCATGATACACAACGCCCTTATAATCGAAAAAAATAATCAACCTTGACTTGATGTTGCTTGGACTTTGACAGGATTTTTTCGGTCAGGGTTCGGATGGAAGCTTTCACTGCGAAGATTATTGTTTTTTTTCTAACATTTCAATAGACTCCGCAAAACTTTTACCGAAATTAAAGCAAAGTTTTATGCAAATTCACTGTTCGGTTCGTTCTGCCATTTTTAGCAATAAACGAATAGCTGCGAACGCAATAAAGTCGTTGTAAACAATACACATTGCAGGGGAACTAAGGCGTCTCATCGATATTTCGGGCTACTGACGATAAGGTTAGGAGTTCCTCAAGATATTCGTAGCCTCCAGAGGTCGTCTGAGTCTCTCTGCGCAAAGATATGAACGTAGGTCAGATACTTTTGGGACAGATCTCGTATTTAATCTGTTCTCAAGTTGCGTGTTAGTCATTATTATATACTATTATTATTTTGATGGTAAACTTAATTGACCTCCACTATATTTACAAAGAAAAGATTAAACGTAAAGTATCTATTTTATCAAAGGAAATGCAAATGAATAAAATAACTTATTTAATCTTCTCCTTTCGTAATAGACTATTTTTTTTGCTATGTTATCTTTATTTTCTTATATACAATAAATTTTTTCTGTGGTATTGTTATTAAAGAAAAACGTTAGGTGTTTCTTGTTCTTTACGAATATTAAAGCACTACAAACTATTGTCAAACGAAAATATTATTTTTAATTTTAACGAAAACAACTATTCTTTGTGCTACTTAAAGACATCAGTAACTAAGATTCACACACATAGTGCCATATCAATCATATCATTGGAATTAAAATCCCTGAGATTACATTACATGCATTACAGAAAATTTGATTAATAATTCCTTTGTATGTGCTAGTTGAATACATTTTACAAACATTAGGATAGATACATTTGTTAGTCGATGAAAATGACATAAAATCATGTATCGAGACTATGAAAACTAAACTAAAATATTATAAGAACTATATAAACTAACTTCCATTTTTTAGCAAGCTGAAATTATACATTGTGGTTCTAATATATCAATCTTAAGAGAAGTAAATGGAGATGTCAAAAAGTAAAGTCACCTATTGCTTTTGTATGTTGTAAAATTGTCATCAGAACTATATATGAAATTCCTACTTTGAGGTAAATGTATCTGATAGAAGGGGATGAAAATCAATCATTACGGAAGACCTTTCATCACCTCAGCAAAATTTAATGATTCCATAAAAGAGACGTATAGTTAAACGTAAGTAAATGAATTTATTAAAAGTTATTTTTGAGAATTATTAACCTGAAGGTATATAAAATAATATATATTTTAATAATATAGTTGATTTGCAATTAACATAGTATGTAAATCATAAAAGTTAATTGTATGTTATTTTATGTTTTAATTCAAAGGTATAACATGTAAAATTTTTAATAATATTTACAAGATTTGCAATATTATTTAGCATGGAAATTTCTATATACACTCCCGCCCAATAATCTTTGCCCACCTGAGAACAAAACGACTATAACTTTGAAACTCCATATCTCGGCTGGAATGACACCTACAGCGCTCTGCGGGGGCTCATTTGAAAGGGTTTTTCGAGCACTTTTCAATAATGTATATTAAAATCATGCTCAGATATTTCCCTTGCAGATAGGACGGCGAATATCAAAACAAAAATTACGAAATTTTTGCTTTTTCTTTAACCGCTTGCCATTTCGAGAAAAAAAATCGAAGAAAAATTATAATCATAGCATTTTTTAGCTCTTTTTCTGCACTATCCAAAACACTCATTCAAAAATAATTTTCGTCTAAATTCAGCGATTATATGAGCATTTCATTCAAAAACAGCATCTATATTCATTGCTCTATATCTCGGAAAATTCGATTTGTAGAAAAAAATTTTCTGGGAAGAAAATGCTCTATTTTGTGAGTAGAATACGTGAACGAAATTTCATAATCATATGAAAACATTTTTTTTTCAGTCGTAATATCAAGTAGTCTAATTTTTTCAATATTTCACTTTGGAATAATAAAACAGTTCATTTATACTCGAAGCTATTCTATTAATTGTAGACAAATTTTAATTGTATGCAAATCTCGATCAACGAAAAATCTAAGTAGAAAAATTAATCTAATCTACCAAAACTGACATAACTAATGGTTAGTGAAAAAAATTTTTTTTTAATGTTGTTCTAATCTTCTAAAAAATTGTTTACCATAGTAACATATTATTGAAGTATGGCACCGAGAGATTTTAGTAAACGTTATCAAGTTATTGGATTTCACATTAATGGTAAAAGCAATCGTCAGATTGCTAGTATTCTCAATATTCCTCGTCGAACCGTAGACTACAGTATAAATAAATTTAAAAGTAGCGGCAGTGTTGAAGACAAGAAGCGCTCTGGTAGACCGCGGAAACGATTGCTTTTACCATTTATGTGAAATCCAATAACTTGATAACGTTTACTAAAATCTCTCGGTGCCATACTTCAATAATATGTTACTATAGTAAACAATTTTTTAGAAGATTAGAACAACATTAAAAAAAAATTTTTTTCACTAATCATTAGTTATGTCAGTTTTGGTAGATTAGATTAATTTTTCTACTTAGATTTTTCGTTGATCGAGATCTGCATACAATTAAAATTTGTCTACAATTAATAGAATAGCTTCGAGTATAAATGATCTGTTTTATTATTCCAAAGTGAAATATTGTGAAAAAATTAGACTACTTGATATTACGACTGAAAAAAAAATGTTTTCATATGATTATGAAATTTCGTTCACGTATTCTACTTACAAAATAGAGCATTTTCTTCCAAGAAAATTTTTTTCTACAATTCGAATTTTCCGAGATACAGAGCAATGAATATAGATGCTGTTTTTGAATGAAATGCTCATATAATCACTGAATTTAGACGAAAATTATTTTTGAATGAGTGTTTTGGATAGTGCAGAAAAAGAGCTAAAAAATGCTATGATTAGAATTTTTCTACGATTTTTTTTCTCGAAATGGCAAGCGGTTAAAGAAAAAGCAAAAATTTCGTAATTTTTGTTTTGATATTCGCCGTCCTATCTGCAAGGGAAATATCTGAGCATGATTTTAATATACACCATTGAAAAGTGCTCGAAAAACCCTTTCAAATGAGCCCCCGCAGAGCTCTGTAGGTGTATTTCCAGCTGAGATATGGAGTTTCAAAGTTATAGTCGTTTTGTTCTCAGGTGGGCAAAGATTATTGGGCGGGAGTGTATATTAATTAAGATATATGTATGTAGTATCTTTGAAGTTTTATATAGGATATAGTGAAGTCTTGTACTAATAGAGTTTATCGACAATTCAAAAGTTAATCAAGTTGGACATTATTGAACGGTAGAAAGTAATATTTAACTCAAAAATAAAATAATAATTAACTAAAATATTTAACTAAAAAAAGCGCAAACCCAAAAGCTACTGCAGAAGTAAATTCAATAGAGAGATTGTATTTAATGAGAGGGTAAGTAATATAAATTAATTATTGAACAAATAAAAAAATTTTTTTATATAAGTAATTGATGAATACAATGATTTCTTTCTATAATTTGTATAATTACGATCTGAAAATTTCAGGTTGAAGATGAAGATAGTAGATAATTCATACTTTGAGTTGGACGTAAAAATATTATATGGATATGTTACGTCTCGTGCATCAACTACGAATAGCTAATGAATGAGACGTTCCAATATGTTGACTAGTGGTTGGATATGTCTCACTTATAGTAAATGTATGTGGAAATGTAAATATGTATGTCTGATAATTGCATTACCTTGATAATCGTAGTTTTTAATTGTTGACAGAAATGCAGCAGGCTCTAACTGCTTGTAGAATTGTATAAATGTAGCAGGCTCTAACTGCTTGTTGAATTGTATAAATGTAACAGGCTCTAACTGCTTGTTGAATTGTATTGGATAGGTCGTTGAATAATACTGCACGATATTACTTTGTAACAGTCGCAAGTTTATTAAGTAAGGTAATCATCAATTGTCGGACCGGTGTGTACGGAGTTGAGTCTTACAGGTACTTATTGACTGACTGACGGACTACTGATCAACTGACTGAGTAATTTTGTTCATTCCTTTTTATATCTTTTATAGCTCTTTTCAGCTCAGTATTGCGATATGGTGTGACATTTTGTTTTTGCTGAATATAAATTTTTGCGTTTGGTGACTTTATTTAGGAGTGTCATTTATTTCGTGTTTTGTCAGCTTTTTGCTGACGTGCGAGTAGTTTAGCTGCTTTGAATTTCATGAATGAGCATTTGTTACAAAAAGGATGCGTCGTAAGACGCAACAGATACTTGGATCATTAAAGTTTTATACGTGTTCTATAGATTAAATAAAACAATTGATTTTGAATTTTTTTTAATTAGATTTTTAAATAGCATAATATAATATAAACTATTAAATATGTCGGAAAATTTATGTTTATTCGATTATAAAAATTAAATTGTACAGCTCATCTTACAAGAATCCCCCACCCCCACCTTCAACCAGACCTCATCAATTTTAATATTCTTTTGATATGTTATAGAATATATGTAAAGAGAGAATTGATTAAGTTAATAAATATAAATTATTGTGGTGAACCTACAACTCTGTTTACAAATTTATTATGCGAAGATTCGCGAAGCAAAGATTGTTTTGATCTGCTGTCTGCGCAGGTTGCGACGTTTGCGCGTAAGAGAACTTAGGATGGGAAAGAGATATTACCGGAATGAGATCATGTCAGCGAATTAATTAACATAAAATTTAATTTCTGATCCAATATTTAAAAAAAGAAATACAGAGAAAAAAACAAAAAAAAAGACAACAAACTCAACAACAACGTGCCCGGAATGGCAATCAGGCACGATGACGTCCTCGGAGAGGCGCTCAACTGTTGCGGACCAGCACGAATATTCACTCGTGCAACGGTAAACCTTTCCAACCACTTTCGAGGACCATAAGCCGCTTAACGGTAGCACTAATCCTTACCATTGAGCGTCAGATCATTTCGAAAGCATCAACGCTCGTGAAAGTCATATGCACACACGGTAATAAGGGAGAGAGATCATGCTGACTCCACTATGAGTATATTTTGCTGGTGTTGCTGCTACACGCCGGTTACCCCTGTATCCTGGTGTTGTTGCCGCACTCTACTGGTTTCATTGTCCAAAATGGTCCTTATTACTCCTGCTGTCCAGACGAGAGTGTCCTCTCGACTAACGCTCGCCCAGAATCCTCGCTCTCTCCTCTACCTCGCTATCCCAATCTCCCCTCGCGTATTTTCGCCTTAACGGCTCCTCTAAATACGCGCCGTTCCTCTCTCTCGTTTCCGCGAATCAGCATCTCAAACAAATAGATTGGGCTCGAGTAATACGCATATCCCCACACATATGCGTCCGGCTTGACGAAGGCGTGTACGCCAATTGCGAAAAGCAACTTTGCGGGGATGAATTCTGCTCAAAGCCCACCCTCAAAAATGAATTTTACAATTGTGACGGAAGATTTGGGGATTAAACCGCCAGCCAAAATCTCGCCCTCTAATGGTCGACGGCAACTCATTTTCCCGACTTATTATCAGGCGATAGACTGCTCTCCTTGGTGCAGCAGTCGTCAAGAATTGGAGTTGGAAAAACGCCAGATGATCTCACATAACGCCTACATCCGACTACAAGAGGGATTGAAGGTTTTGATGTTTAACGACCGGGTTGTCCTTTACAAATTGGTGCGGCTGTATCTTACTCCTGCTCGTGCGGATATTCGATGTTGGCCGGGCTAGATTTTGTGGACAACTCTATATTCCAAGGCCAGGTGTAAGCGGAATTTATCTTAAAACGAACAATTATTTCTGTTTTCAAATTTATGTTACAGCGAGTCTGTTTTATCGAGAATCTTAGATCTACCTAAGAATTTGCGAATATCATTGACTCGCGCGAGTACTCGAATCACTAACCAAGCGTGGTTTTCTAATCGCGGCTGGAAATTAAATAACAGTATGTACGAGAAAGGTACGCAACTTAGGTCAAAGAAAAGAGTCAATTAAATCTCATACACTTTATTAATTACCGATCTTACACTATTATTCTCTTGCGGATACAATGGAAGGTTAGCGCGGTGGATTTGCGTTTCGTCTTTCTCGGTGACGGATCCACGTGCTCTGATTTCCTACTTTGCGCCCAGACTTCTTGCGCTGTTTTCTCGAATATGAGTGAGCGAATTGGAAAATAGAAGG